GAGAGAGAGAGAGAGAGAGAGAGAGAGAGAGAGAGAGAGAGAGAGAGAGCTGCAGCATGCAGCATGTCAGTGGCGGGAGCACAAGGGCAGGCGCTGACCTCCAACAAAAAGAAGAAGTAATTTTATCGGAATACAAAAGGTTTTTCTTTTCGAAATCTGAATAGAAAGGGTACAGATTGTATTCGAATACGTGTAGGACCTGCACCGTTTCAATTTCGAAAAAGGACTGCGGCCTCCTCGGCCTCCTACTCGCAGCTACCTGTCCTACGCTTTCCTGGCCCTTGCAAGGCCCCAAAACCTCAAATGCCCACCCTCCCGCGATACCGGCCAGGGGTTTCCTTTTCTTCTTCCTTTTCTTTTATTCCTCTCTCCATTTCACCTTTCGCTGTCTACCTACTCCTAAGCCTTTACAGGGGACCCCGGCAAGCCCCTCGCCCTAATAGGCGATGGTCAGGGAGTAGGGTGGGGCCGCCAGTGGGGGGGGGGGGRGGCTAACCCAAAGACCGAGCATTTTGCCAGTAGCTGCGCCTCCCATCTACTTTCCCCACCCCCCGATCGAGTAACAGCAGTGGCTATGGCCAACACTCTCCCACACACCACACACAACCCACTGACGCTCACACTCACACCCGTGTTGGCAATAGACCCTACTTATACCGATCAGGGGTATCAAGCGGATTATTACAGTCCGTTGGCACTTCTTCCTATTCCTATAACTGCGGGTCGGAACAAAAATGCCCAGACAAATGCCTATCCCTGCATCGAGGGGGACATCGTAGCGGCGTCGGGAGCCAAGTCCCACTTGCCGAACGAAATTCTTCATTTCTGACCGTCTGTCTAGATTTGAGAGAAAACGGGGACAATCTAGGGTCAGAAATGAAGGATACGGGTAAGTGGGACTTGGCCACGGGAACGGGAAATTCCCACAAGACAAGCGAGAGTGTGAGCTTGGAGGCTCGCCGAGCCTTTCTCGAACGATTAAAAATGCCGAGCGCATCTTCGCGTAGAAGCCGGCTAAGATGCATTGCCATTGCCACATCTCATTCCCTGTGAGCGGGCATATCTGGCTGCTCCCAATGTGACGACCAGTTCCCCTTTTTCCTCATTTAGTAAGTAGTACGACGAGGCGGGTGGTCGAGGTCGAGTGGGAGCGGGATCGGGGTGGGGAGCGAGAGCGCGGGGGGGACATAATCGGGCGGAGCAGAGCGCGGGCACGAGACGCAAACTGTGAGATCGAGCGCGCGCGCGCGCGCGCGCACGAGAATTGCTGCGGATTCAACGGCTCATTTTTGGCGGGAGCAAAGAAAGGTAGGGCTGGTACTTATTGGTGGTTGTACCTGGCGGGAGCGAGCGTTAGGGTTGGGACCTGTGGGTGGCACTGCAGTGTGTGCTCTTCTGCTGGTCCCATGGGGGACAACAGCTGGTCGGTGTGGGAGTAGCGCGACCGGCAGGGAGACTTGTTCCAACGGACCGGTCGCTGGTGGGAGTCGGTCGGCCGTGCCGGGAACTTGAAGGAACCGTAGTCAGGCGATTGTTTGGCAGCGACCGGTCGGGAGAGTGATGAGCTGGAGGTGGTGCGGGGGAGCGGTGCTGAGGATCTCCGACCTTGCGTTTTCTTTTCTATCTTTTCTGAAATATTTTGTTTTGAAAAGGCGGGAAGGAAAGTAGACGGCGCGACCTCTCAACGGTCAGCTGGCAGTCAGGAGGGGCGGAGGAGTGCGTATTCAGCAGATCCCGATCGCCAGTTGCCACGTGTAACGCTCACGAGAGGCGAGAAAAGGGGGGGGG